GCAAATAGAAAAAGGCATTTCATTACATTCAACACTGGCTTTTATGTGGGGTGCCCCTTCGGTTCCCTGGAGCTATCGGGCTAATATGTGATATATTAGACTAGGGCAATAGTCAATGGAGTTCAGCCTACCAGGGGCAACGAGCCAAAACCTCAGGGGCACATTGCTCCCCTGTGCCTCTCAAAGAGGCACAGGGAGCAATGGCCCCCTGAATTAACCCCCCCCCCTCCCCCGGTGGTTGGCGGCTTTCCTAATCTGCCATCAACCGGGGTTAGGCACATGGAAAGGTAGGCATAACAAAACAGACCCCACATGGTAAGAAAATTGCAACCAAAACCGAACAGAGGCAGAACTCCCCAGGAAACAATTAAACAGCAAATGTCACGAGCAGTCCCCCTCACCCCCTTCCCCCCAAGGAGTGGGAGGGGGTTGCCCTAGACATTCTGTGCCTTCTACCCAGCAACTCCAGTTCGTTGGCTATTGAGATTTAGGGCGATCATCGACTCTGGCCTCGATTTCCTGGCAGTGTTTTGCCTTAGTGGTATTCTCTGCAGTGTTGAGGTGTGGTGGCCAGGTGTAACCAAGTATACCAGGGCTGCTTGCACTTTGGGTGACTTCCCTAAGCACCCTGTGAGTACTACCCCTGGATGCTAGGGTTCTCTTTCCTGGTACTTTCAGAATGCCATTTCCGAAGGGTTTTTTTTTGCTGCTCGGCCAATTTACCCCGCCCTTGGGGCTAACCGGGGTTTCATGGCCCTTGTTTGGTTTTGAGTAAGGAGTGGTATTGTTGCTGGTTGGGGCATCAAGGTATTGCACAGCCATCTTACCTATGCAGCGGGCGGTTCCTGTTTCCTCTGGGGATGTTGTATTCTTGTGTTTTTTTTTCTTTTATTTTTGTTCTTTGCCTGGTGGGGGTCTGTCTGGTAGGGGTCTACCTTGTATGGCTAATAGGACCGCTTATATTGTGCTGGTGGGCCTCCGCTAGGTCCCCTTGATTGTACACGTCAAAGGGATTTCAGTGTTTCGATCTCCTCCCTTGTTAGCTTTAGGTTCAACCGGTTACCAACACCTTACTTTGCGATGATGATTCTTGGGCTTAGTGTTCATGTGGCCTGGTCCTTGACTAGGCCTCCTGTGCATGCCCAGGCTTCCCGTAGCAGTCAGCCTACAGCCCTGGAAAACCCTGTTGGGGCTCGGTGGACCTATGGATGCGTGTTCCGAGTTCCAGCTCGTTTCGTGCGAGTTTGCAGGTTGCTGTGTGCCCTTCTCTCTGGGTGAGTCACCACTTTTGCCTCCTCCATGCTGCCCATTGGGTCAACGACACCTTTGACCTGGAGTCTCGCAAGTCGTGTTCTCTGCTTGTTCTCCAATTTACCCATCCTGATGAAATTGATATTTGGGTACAGGCAGCATCCACGTTGCATGCTAAGTTTATGTTGCTGCAACTCACTAGGTTGTTGCCCACCCAGATCCCCCGAGGCTGCCCTGTTTTGGTCATAGGGACCCAGACTTGAGGGTGTTAGTCGCTTCAAGAACCAAAGCGTTAGTCGCTTTGGTTCCTTCTGCACTCCCTGGTCCTTCCCCCTGTTGTTAACCTTGATCCTGGCTCCCAAACGTCTGAGGGTTTCAGAGTTGTGGTGGGGTTTAGTTGGTAATGAGACTCGAGCGGCTTCGAGGACTGCCCCTTTCGGGTTGGGAACGGAGGCATTCCAGGCGGTTACTCCTGCCGAGGCTTCTGGGTCCCACCAGCAGGGCCCCCTCTCTGTTCTGCCATTTCTTCTGGGGTAGAGGGGTATGGAGGACTGATCTGCCTCGAGTAATGCGTTGGATGTTCCCAGGGCTGGGGAGGTGTTGACCTGAGGGCTTTGGGGTCCCCTTTGACCCTGCTTGGGTTTTGGTGCCTTCATTGCAGGGATGGTTGTTGCATGGGGGGAGGGGTTTTCTTACACCACTTCCCTGTATGAGTGATTTGGAGTCAGCTCCTCCCCGAGTTTGGTTCCGGATTCCCTTGGCTTTTTTGGCGCCTTCATTCCGGAAGTTTTCTGCTTCTCTTATCTCACCTAAGGAGGTTCGGGAGGAGCTTGTTGCATACCTCCTGCGAGACCCAGATTATACCTCTGTGAAGGATCTGTCCTTGTTTGAGTTCGGTTCTTCTTCCCCGTATTGGGTGCATTTGGAGGTTCTGGAGTTTTCCTCGCTGGCAGACTGCCCATTCTTTTTGTTGGGGGCATTGCATGGGTTCTGTTGGACTTGTGCACTTGAATGGCTGAAAACATCAACCATTCTGCTGATTTACCTGGGGGTGGGGGAAGGGGTTGAGTGCCTTAATGCGTGCTTGTTCGCCTCTGTGCTTCCTCGTGATGTTGGCCTTGTGCAGCTGCACGTGCAAGTTCCTACACTTTTGGTGTCTTTGGTTGCTGTTGATTTGTGCGCCCGTGGGCATTTGGTTTCAGTCTTGTGTTTCTTTTTTCTTCTTGCGCTATCCTCGACCTGGGTTGAGGATGATGTGGAGGTATTGAGTGCCAGGACTTCGTCTGGTGTGCTGGCCTCGATGGCAAGGGTATCAGCCGCATTGTTGAAGCTGTTTGCGCAGATTCTCAATGAGGTGCTGTCTCTGTTCTTTGCTTCTCACCTCACGTGCCAACAGGCTGTGCTCGCTCTTTCTTTGGAATCCGCCTGGGCCCTGACTCTTAGCTTTTCTTCGCCGTTTTGTTCGTTGCTGTTTGTGGAGACTGCTTTCATGCAGTTTCTGCAGGCGGCTTCGTTCAGTTGTCATCGTATGTCAGACTTTTTGCCTCTTCAGGGTGGCCTTCTCGGAAAGGTCGTGCCAGGGTTCGGGTTTCCGCTGGTCGAGGTTCCGCTGGTTGGGGTGGGCCACTCGTGCCAGTTTCTGAGCCGGCACTTCCTTCAGAGCTAGCGTGATCTGATCCACTCTTTCTTCAAGGCCGGTGTCATCTGGTTGGTGCAAAGATCCCTCTGCTCGTCGGCCAGCTTTTCATAAGAGGGCGTTGGCCCTTTCGTGGGGCGGTGAGGGAGAAAGCTCGCTGTCACGCCTGGTCCCATGATCCGTGGGCATTTTGGGTTGTTTCCTCTGGCCTGTGGTGGTATTAGGCGGCTCCTCCTCCTTTGGGGGGTTTGGAGCTGGTGGGCAGGCTTTTTTCCCTACACTTTGTTGGGTCATCTCAAGAGTAGGTGCGCTTAGACATGGTCAAAACAACCCCGTTCCCCAGGTGGGTTTCCCGCCTGTTTCCAGTGTTGAAACGGGACTGTGCAGATCTGCGGTTCATTCTGGACTTGTTCCGTCTGAACCCCTGGATTCCTTGCACCTCCTTTCAGTTGACCACTCTGTCTCAGATCTGGCTTCTGTTGGAGCCAGGTGCCTGGATGGTGTCTCTGGACCTCAGGAATGCGTATTGGCATGTTCCCATCCATTCGGGGTTCGGGGATTGGTTAGGTTTCATGATAGGGCATCAGGCTTACAGCTTTTGTGGTCTTCCTTTTGGCTTGAATCTGACACCTCGCGGATTCATATGTCTTACCTGGGTCGTGGTGACCCGTTAGTGTCTGCTAGGGGTTCGGGTTCTGGCCTACCTCGATGACTTGCTGGTGTGGCTCCCAGCCGCTCTGCTTGTCTGCTTGCCAGGGATGTGGTCCTTTCCCAGCTCGCTGGGTTCGGGTTCCTGGTGAACTGGAGGAAGTTCCATCTGATTCCATCCCAGACTCGGACATGGCTGGGTCTTGTTTGGCATTCTCGGACTGCTTCCATGCCTCTCTCTGGTCATTGCTGCAGCTGCGGTCCCACCTTCACCTATTTCTTGAGGTGTCCCGGGTCACTCGACGGTTGCTCGAGCAGTTGTGCTGGAGTATAAACATCACAGGTTGCAAAGTCTAGCCAGCCTGCAGTTTATCCTCGTGCCAATGATGTTCGGAAATTTGATGCGTTGGCTGCCGTCTTCGCCAACATGTCTTGGGCTGATATTCAGGCGCAGGGATTTTGGAGGTCGAACAGTATCCTGGCTGCCTGTTATTTTGTAAAGATTCCTGGTCCTGGTCATCTGTGTGTGATTTTGAGTCACAGGTTGCACCCAGTTGTCTCGACTTCGAGTTGAGAAGAGAGTGGCGGCCACCTCCAGGGGTAAGTCCCTCTTTTTCTTATTTTTGGTTAGGTAGCTCCAGGGAGCATTGCATTACATTCAAAACCAGCGTTGAATATAATTAAACGCTATTTTCTGGGTGAACCCCAGAGGCTCCCTGGCACCCTCCCTCCCTCCCTCTGGTAGGCGGTTTTCACGATGTTTTGATGCTTAACCTCCAAATTAAAGTTGCTGGGTAGCCGGCACGGAGGGCCCGAGGCTCCCCCCTCCCCCTTCACGGGTTCTGCGTGGACGATCGGTGCAGCGGCAGTGTGTGACGTTTGCTCGTTTGTTTCCTTGGGACTTGGGGAAATCCTACCTGTTTGGTTTTCGGTTGCAATTTTCTTACCATGTGGGGTCTGTTTTGTTATGCCTACTTTTCTGGGTGCCTAACTCTTGTTGATGGCAGATTGGGAAAGCCCCCAACCACAGGTGGCCTTTTCAGGGGGCCATTGCTCCCTGTGCCTCTCTGAGAGGGGCCAGGTTCTGGCTCGTGGTCCCCGGTTAACCAAACTCCATTGACTACTGCCCTAGTCTAATATATCGCATATTAACCCAATAGCTCCAGGGAGACTCCAGGGCTCACTCAGAAAATGGCATTTCATTACATACAACTTTAGTTTTTTACATAATGTGAAAAAGAATCTAATACCGCAACCCGCACATAATTTAAAAAAAAATTTGATGGTATTGCAGTCCATCCAGCTGCACTTGACAAGGGTTGAGGACAGCCAAAACATGAGCACTTTCTTTCCATGTGTGCGGGTTGGGTTATTTGTTCTCAGCCACATTATTATGACTTATTCTCTGTAGCAGGAATTGGTAAATACTGTACAAGTGAAGACGTGCATGTCTCGTGTATCTCACCTTAACATTCTCAGTCTTCCACTTGCTAGTGTCATACTGAGAAGACTTCTTGTCCAGATGCTCAGACATTAAGTATTCCAGAAGAGACTGAAATTTATTTTTATTATTATAAGTAATGTTTATTGATAATTTTTTTTATTTTGACACCTTGTATACTACACATACAAGTAATTTATACCAAAAATTGTTCACAATTTCTTAAAAGATAATTGTATTAATTATAATTGCATTGAAGCACTTGCATATAATTTTAAAAAATTCTTCAGGTTATATGTTGCTCAAATGGCATAAATGTTCTGCAGGTTTAATATCTACATATAAAACCAAGACAGTAGAACTATGCTTTCCTCTACAAGTATCGAACAATCCTTGGAACATACTCATCACAGGCAGGAAACAATAACTCACTTCTAAACAAAGGTCGTTGTTGCCCAGCATGGAGTCGTAATATCGGACAGCTTTGTCCCGGAAGTCGATGGTTGCCAGACACCAGTGCATGCCCAGGTGGACAGGTATTAGCAGCATTTTGTAACTGAAGATGTCAACCTGGAGAAGATTATTTTATAAATACTTACAGGATAGCTTTAAAATGACTCAATACACTTATTAACAAACAAAACAGCTTTTGGAGTTAATTAATCAAGGTTTTGCAATATTAGTAAGATTTGCCCATATGTGTGACAAATTGTGGACCTCTAATGTTCATACCGAGTTCTCTGATTGTGCCTAAGGCACCTCTACTCTTCACTGGCTCTATTCTGCATTTCTTTCTGTATTGTTCACTCTAGTATATTTTTGTATTGTGTAAATTTAGGACCTGACCCTCCAGTACTTTCCATGTAGAGTATATATGGTAATTCTATGGTAAAGTGGGAAGTGAATGTGATAGTGAGACATTACAAATAGATCTACATGAACTCTACAAATGGTCAGATAATGGTAAATGCTTTTTAATGTCGATAAATGCAAGATCTTGCATGTATTCACCTAGTCATGCTTGCGGGGGTTGAGCTCTGCTCTTTAAGCCCGCCTTTTAACCCTTAAACTGCGCATGGCGTATATATACGCCATGAGTAACATGTCCCACAGTGTGCATGGCGTATATATATGCCATTGGGTGCCAGGCACGATTCAAATGGCCCGCAGCTACATGGGGTTCACATTACACATTGTTTACAAGAGCCTCAGGGCTCTTGTAAACAAACGCCATTTTTTTTTTAAATCGTGGGCAATATTCTCAGGTGTGAGAGTCCAACCCGTTCTC